ATATAATAAGTACCAAAGATATAATTTCGAATAATGGAAGTGTCATGATTGATTTGGGATAGTCCATCCCCTTAATTCGTGGAAGGTATTGCACATATACCGAGTCTCTACATAATTTTATACTTATTTAAAATCCTACCAATTAATAAACTATCTAATTTACAGAAATCCTGACTTTCATTCATATTATCTAAAACAGTTTTCATTAATTGTGTCACTTCCATTATCTGATATTTTATGAATTGTTTTTAATCTACTCTGGTGAAGCGGTTATATAATCCCATACTCATGTATTTTCTGTCATACGATCTTTTTATGCCAGTGCCATCTCTTGGGTGGCTTAATCTTAATTAATCAATCAAATGTTTTTTGTCCGTATTCCTTGAAAACCTATTCAAACACGAAAGCGCACGAAATTATCGTAATATTTTTCCAATGTGCATACTTTCGCCAAGCTAAATTACGTGTTTTTGTTAATACATGCATATAAATGCATAAATAAATATGAATACACTCACACCAGTAACCAAAAATACATTCAGAATGTTTTTTTCGAGGTTTTGGTTTGTGTATAGAATCGGAAATACTCGGAAGTAAAGCTTTTATAGATGCAATAATGATGTCATTAAGCAAAAGGCTAAATTACAGGATTAAAGTTTGATGAGATTTGCTTTGGCACCAGAAAACTTTTGCAGCTGCTCTCAGAAAATATAATATGAATTAATTAATGATAGTCGATATTCAGACATGTAGTAAAGCAAAGTATTGAAGTAAATATTTGTAAAATCATCTTGCAGTAAAAACCACTAAACAAAATATATTTTGAAACAGGCCAATTAACTTCCAGAATGTGCAACTTTTTTGCTATGTGGAATTGCCAGAATGAAAGTAAAAAAATCATATTGCATTAAGAATTTGCAATACAGGAAATCTTCCATGTACTTCTTCTGACGTTAACCATGCAGTCTTCTGAACGAGGTGATCAGCTAATGATTGCTGGAGTCAACGCGTATGTTCACTTTTGGTGGATGTGATGAAGCACTGCCAACGCATTCCATTTCATTTTATCCAACGCACCATACTGGCGTTGATGGAATTATCAGCGTTCTTGCAACTAATTAAGCTGTCAGCTTGCAGTACATTATTATATTGATTGTTGCTATAATAATTATTTTTATGCTTATTATTATTATTAAAATTATTATTAATTATGTTGTTATCTGTGTATGCATGGGAGCAAAGATTCTGTCGAGCTCCTGCTCTCGGGCCCTGCTATTTGATAGTCAACAGGCGTACCAGAGTGTCTGAATGTCTTCCTGTGGTCATTTTTTTTGGTTTTCACTCCACTCTATGTATGATGATGTAGAGACTTTCTCCTCTCTCATATCATCAGGTCAAGCCCCTTGAGGATTAGCTGTCAATAATTCCTCACTATCATTTGTATTACCTGCAAGTGGTATAAGCTGTCAATCATCACCTACGATCATCACTTCCGTCAATCATCATCACCAGCCAATGACATTAATTGTCAACCATCTATTATACAAGAATATGAATAATCTACTTTTATTATATTTGTTCTAGATATTTTTTTAATGGGCGGACCAAAAAATATTATTTCCATTCTTTGAATCTGTATGTGTTGGGTTATTTATTTTTAGCCACGTTCTTCTGATTTATTCTCTATACAGGCATTTTGTGTTATCAGTTTTATGTCTATTTGCCGATCGTATACTTGGTCTGCCATCTGTATATCAAGGGTAATACTTATCGCCAACTGTCACTTGTGTTTCGGGTTCTTCCATCCTGTATGTCCACAGGCAGCTTGTATGCTGCTCATACATAGCTACAGCCGTTATACGAGGGAGGAGAACGTTGCCATACCGCATATGTGAGAAAAGAAATTTCTTGAAGCATGTGTGTGACAGAAGAACGCACTTCAACAGCAGGTGTGTGAAGAGAACTCTCTCCTGCACAAGGTGTGTGTGATAACTCTCTTCTGCAGCAATTGCATGATTAGAACGTCCTCCTGCAGTATATATATATGCGAAAAGACTTTCTCTCCTGCAGAAGAGGTGTAAACAAAACGCTCTCCTTCTTTCGTAAACAATTCAGCAGATGAATTGTTGGGTGCCAGCTGCCAACTCCTCCCTCAGGTGCTGACCTTACGAACATTTATGGCCACGTCCCTCACACCTTCCACCAACCATAAACCATCACCATCATCACTCCCAGCGTGACTGTAAATAACGGGGTAGCAGGGGTTTCATAGCCACGTACTCCCTTGCGTAATGGGATACTAAACTACCTTAAGACTTTACGCATTGGTGCATCACAACTGTGAAATACTGCTGTAAAGCTTTGGAAATCTAATTTATTGTTTGTAAGTGTTTTAATAGTGTATACATATGTGTTTGAGAAAAATCAGATCACCGCTACACTGAATCTACCTTATAAACTCAGACAGAGAGAGAGAGAGAGAGAGAGAGAGAGAGAGAGA